ACACCTGATTTTTTAAAAGATTTTTTAAGTTTGTTATTTATGAAATGTAATCTTTAAAACAAGGAATTATGTATTGTTCCCTATGTTCATTTTAAGTGGGCTGCCTATAATACTCATTATTATTGGGCCATTAAAATTTATTCTCATTTAGACCTTTACAAATTATCATTGGGCCTCACAATTTCTGTGCTTAAATCTATGAGTGAACAATTGTTTTCTTCATTTATTTGGGCCACTAACATTATTCCTGTTTGAGGCTTTGGGCATATCCCTATTCAAAAATGTTTTACTCCATGGTTGGTGTATTTCTAAGGTACTCCAACTAATTCTTTGAAATGGAACGGATATTGGAAAGATTCGGCACTTCATGAATGCTGCGGGCTATTTTAAAGATCCTCATTTAAAGTGAATTAGAGCTTGCACGTATCTATTTTTCAATTTTTGCTTGTTGCTTTCTACTGGAGCCTCAACATTGACGAAAAAATAGTATGGTAGATAGACCATTTGATTTGTATATAAATTAAGACCTTGTCTGGGCCGAATTGTTTTTGAATTTTAATTCCAAATCCAACCGTTGGCAAGGCAACGGTCCAAATTTGACAAAACAAGAAAAAGTGCACATTTCCTACCCTACCCTTCCTTGGCGTGTAGTATCACACAACCACCACATCAACCCACTTTCCCTTTCCTTCATCCACCCACCGACACCGGCACGAGGAAGAAACCGAAGTGCAGTGCAAAAATTGTTACACCTTCGAGATTACAGTAATAGACGAAAGGTCCTTTTACACCAAACCCAACTGCCATTTTTGATTCCTTCAACTTTGGGCTGCTGAAAATCGTGGGCTTCTTCGACGTGTTCTTCTTCTCCAGACGCAGGCAAACGAAAATTTATCCAGATCGAAGAGGAAAATAGCAGATTCTACAGCTTGGAAATTTTTTTTTTTGGAACACTGTTGGTTTCATTTACCCGGATCCGGATGAAGCTTGACATTTCACCATCTACAGCTTGTGCTTAGCAGGCTTCTTCGAAACAGTTGCGTCTCCCAAATCGAGAGGTGATTTCCGCATCTACAGCTTGGGATATTCTTTGACATCGGACCATTTCGAAACGGCACCTGCAGTTTACTGATCGAGACTTAGCCTTCCCTGTCTCTATTCCTGCAGCAGCGAAGACCCACTCAAATTTTTTCCTTCCGTTTCCCCGCGTTGCCTTCTTCTGCGAATTCACGTGTGGTGTAAGGATTCTACATTAATTGGATGGATCCGTTCGAACAGGTTCCGGTAAGTGACTGATTCATTAGTTCCATTTCCAGTTTATTATTGTACCCGTGAGTACGATTACAAAATTCAAACCAAAAACAACATTTGAATATTGTCGAATGCACACCTGCAGTATTACCATCGTATGAGCTAGATTACAAAATTCAAGACGTTAACAACATTTGTATATTCTCGAATGCACACCTGCAGTACCAAAATTGTGAGTATGATAACAAAATTCAAACTTTAACAACATTTGGTTTTCTCTAATGCACACCTGCAGTATTACCGACACGGTCACTCCTCCGGCTCGACCGGCGCTGAAGTTCACAACCATAGGGTGCCACATAAAAATGCACAGTGGAATGCACATGAGACCACCATCTTCGTGGCTG